ATAAAGGCATGTTAGGCCATAATAAATTGGGATCCAAACTCAACTCTTATTATTATAGAGCATCAGGACTTGATCCCGATGTCTTACCCTCAATCAATGGTATAATAGGCTAAACAATATTGAGATTCACTCTCAAGCCTTAATTTTAATAACATGTCAAGAAAGTTGTACACAACTAATTTGCAACTTAGCAAATCAAATTTGCTTTCTTAGATAAGTGTACAAATCTCAAATCAGCGTAAAACTTTATTAATTATTTGTAGCATCTGTATGAAATACAATTGTTTGTAGTCAGAACATTTCTTCTAAATTCTATTAGAGTTTAAATGGATCATAAAATCATTGTCATAATATGCCAAAGTGCAGTATGACTCACTCTTGAGCCTTTATGAAAAATATCAATTATCCATCTTGTGGTCATCAGTAGAAGCGGGATTAGTTATAAGTATATAATCACTTCTATAAGTCATGTATATCATGAAACTTTACTATAATTCAATTGTTATTTACTAATGCAAGATTTTCAATTTTAAATAACTATTATATAATAAATTTTAGGTAGTGATAAACCATCAGCAAAGTAGTAACAACCATATAGAAATCGATTAAGAAATTATTGTGATTCATTGACAATTAAATCTCATAATTAAGCATTAACATCTGTCAGTTACCACTTTCCAAATAAAATGAATCTTAAAATCCTCTTTTCTAAAAGAGAGAGAGAGAGAGAGAGAGACATCTTCAAAATTATCAATATATTTATAGGCTGCAAATTTACATCCAATAACTTGTAATAAATCATGATAGTGTTTGATAAATATTATAGAACACATAAAAAAATCATTAAGTGTTTACATGATATATTAGTAGCCAAATTAAAAATGTATGCATGTTTAGTATTTATTGAATAAGTCAACACTCTTGATCAAGCTATTTCAATTACACAAAGACTAAAATAGTTTAAAGTGATCAGAGAGGTTCAAAAGAAATCCAAATTGATGAAAAATTCAAACAAAAATTAAAGTACTTAAAAAAAACTGAATATTCAAACCATAGTAAGCAAGTTCTGTTTTGAAAGCTTACATATGAAAAGCTTAGCTATTATTAAAAATCAATGTAACTAAGAATATTATTAATAAATGATGATATAAGAGTTCCAAAGCGGACCGCATATACTTGTTAGGCTAAGAAGATTAAGTGAAGGAAACATATCTCACATATTTTACAGAGAAGAATCACATCCTTGAAAGCTTTGGAAAATTTTCAAGTTCAATAAATGAAAATTAGTAAACTGTAAACTTACATATGTTTCTTCTTGATTCAACCCGCTTATTTTCTGATTTTAGGTATTCAATATTTTGTAGTTCAACGATGAACTTGGTTATCTTCGTACTTTAAGATGATGGCTGAAATAAAAATTAGAGCTTCGTGCTGATAACGTGTTATGAAATAAAAGCAATTTAGTAAAACATGAACAAGAAATATAGATAGAGAGAAGGAAGAGATTTTCTTCTTCAATTGTGTGTATATTTTCATTGCAATTACATAGCCTTTTATAGGCATAAAGAGAAAAGATGATGGACATAAAATAGGAGATTTAATCTTTAAGTTATTCACAACATGGACATCTAATGTAGCATCCAATGTACAAACTATTCGTAACATAGATAAGTTTTTCGACCAGCTGCCTAAATCTCGATAAATATAGTTTAGTAGTGGTGTGCATAGGTTAACCAGTACACCACGATTAAAAAACTTATTCTATGAGCGACCTCTCATTCCACAAATGTGAAATGACCAACCCCAAACGCCAAACTAGCTAGAGTATTTTTTTGTTCGTCTTAAATTACAATAGACACTTTATCCAGAAGCTGCCTAGCATGTGGATTTCATTTTTAAAACATGGCATAGAGAAAAACAACCTGTCATAGATATCTTGATAACGACTGACATAATATGGACGTGAATAAATATGACGGAGATATAAACAAAAAGGAAACTACGAAGACTTGGCCTCAATTATTAGCATTGTCCCCATAATTGATCACCTAATTAATTAGATGCATAGTATAGATATATATTTGCTTGTGATTCTCATGCAACTACTTTCCATTTAATTTAATTTTCTTTCTCTTAGAGGTAGGGGTGTACAGAGGAAACCGACAAACCGCATCAACCCGATAATTCTAGTCAAATCGAGAGAAAAAACCCGATTATGGTTTGATGTTGGAAAAAAAAATCCGACCATAACTGGTTTGGTTTGGGTTTAACTAAAGAAAGTCAAACCGAAACCAAACCAACCTGACATTATATATATATATATATATATATATAGAAATTTTAGATATATTTAATAAATAAATATATTTATTGTGACGTAATTTATAAATATTTCTTAAAAATTTTCATACTTTTATCTTTTAAAGTATTATTTTATGGTTGGACTTAGAACTTTTGACTGTTCCAATAAGTTTTGTAGCCATTAATATTAGTAAATTAAATAATACTAACAAAGCCCAAACCAAAATCAAATCAATACTAATGCTAACAAAAGACATTCAATTCAATAGTCAATACTACGAACTGGAATGTATTGAATATCTATTTTTTGTTTTGCAATAATTTAGATAAAAATGCATAACCTATTTTTATCTTTTCTTTAGCGTTTAGTCATGTAATCAATACTCCCTTATTAGTCTACTTACTTTAGCATGACTTAGTACTTTTAGATTATGTTTATTTTTATTATGGTTTTTTAATTAGCAATATTTTTATTATGATTATTGTTGAATATTTTAGGATAATGTCATGACACATCTAATATTTTGTATTATTTTCTTGAAAAATACTTTATATAGTTGTATCTTACTAGGATTAAAGAAAAATTTTGAGCACAAGTTATATGTTTTGTTTTACGAAGATTTTACCGGCAAAAAACCCCCCCCAAAAACCCGAGAAAAATCGAGATTGAAAAATTCGAGTTTTATTGGTTTGGTTTGGTCTTTAGATTTAATAATCCGACACAATTAGTTTAATTTGGTAATCGTAAAATCCGAACCAACCCGACCTATGTACACCCCTATTAGAGGTATGTCAAATTGGGGAAGGGGTGTATGGGTCTGAATTTGACCGACCACGACCTGTAGTGAGCATGACAGACGGCCGAGCAGCTGCGAGTTGATGCCCAGAAGGGTACGACCTTGTAGTAAGAGAGAGAATAATATGACCTCGGTGGTAGAGTAAGCATATTAGGGGACATTGAGAATATTCATAAAAAGGGATCTTTTGTATGTCGTTTCTACGAGGGGGGGGATTCCTCAATATATAAGAGGAATGAGAGCCTTGTAAAGGGGGGTCTCTGGAAAATTCACCAACCTTGAATAAAAAAGAATATTTACAATTCTCTTCTCTCTATTGCTATCATCCTAGAGTTTATTATCTTCAGCTACGATTTACCCATTCATCATTGATTGATTTGTTCAAAAAGGTTTTAATATATTTTGAGTGAAATAATTTGGCGCCGTCAGTGGGGATTTCCATAGCTGAAATCATAGTTCTCATCTAGGTTCTTGAAAGTGACGATTACTGTTCTTCAAACCTCATAAAAACCAACAATGGCGGAAAAATAAACGAGGCTGAAGATGATAACAGATGTCTCAAACAATCTCTTGAACTCCCTCAACGAAGCCCGTAGAGAAGACATCGAGAATACAACACCAAGAGTTACACCGGAGGAGGAGATCTCACCTTCTCTATACGGGGATCTAACGGTCTTGCGCGAAAGGGGAGCCTCAACGTCCACGGTGGGGAAGCACCACCAGCAGTCAAAAATCTGCTAGAGGAATGGTTAGACAAGTGCTCTGAGCAACATGCTTGAAAAACCCCCTCAAGGAAATGTCGAAGACTTACCACCTACAGAAATCGCAGCTACCACCAGCGAGCCAAGCACAACACGAACGGGTAACACCCGCCCTGTCACTTATACAAACGATGATGCACTCATGGCCATCTTAAAGAAAATGGAAGAGATGGAAAATGAGAACAAAATACTCCATGATCAAATGAAGGAGCATCAGGAAAGGGTTGACAAAATACCAAGCGCCCCCAAGCTATTACCAAAGCGCGATGTGGGCCGATTCATTGAATAACCATACAGTGACGGGGCTGCTCCTCATCCTATTCCAAAAATCTTCAAGATGCCGCCATATTTGAAAATATACGACGGGACCATGAACCCGGAGGATCATCTAATCCATTATGTTACTGCAGTAAAAGGCAATGATCTGTCAAAGGAACAGGTACCATCTATGCTGCTAAAAAGGTTTGGTGAGACTTTGACAAGGGGAGCATTGACGTGGTACTCCCAGCTACCAGCACGATCAATATCAACATTTGAAGAAAAGGCGGATAAATTCACCACCGCTCATGCAGGGGCGAAGAAGGTTGAAGCTAGGGTCAATGATATCTTCACTATCAGGAAAACAGCGGGCGAGGGACTTCGGGACTTCCTGGCCCAATTCAACAGAGTAAGGATGAGCCTGCCAAACGTGTCAGAAGGGATGGCAGTAGTAACCTTCTAAACGGGTTAAACAGGAACGAATCAAAGGCAACCAAAAACTGCTTAACAGACTCATGAAGTACCCCCCACCACATGGGAAGAGATCCACAACACCTATTGCGCCGAGGTAAAGGCAGATGAGGACGATCTGAACGACCCGATTCAACGATTAACGTTAGTTCAGATAGGCAAGGAGAGATCGACGTAATGATGGGTGAAGGGATCAACCCCTACGTTTCAATCGAGAAAGGCATCAGCCCTATGTCCGAACATCTAACCTGCCCCATCCAAGACATCCGGATGCCATGCTACGCCACACCGTACCCCTTCAAAACGAAAGAGGTATGCCTCCACTGTTATCCGCTCATAACTTTTGTGTCTCCCCTTCAAAGATAGTGTACGCATTGGAGAAGCTAGGCACGAAGGTGCAGTTGCCACAAAAATGAAATTGGACCCAAACACCAGGAGGTCAAACATCCTCTGTGAATTCCATCAAGAAAGAGGACACAAGACCGAAGATTGTATAGGTCTGCGGCAGGAAGTAGTTAGGATGTTAAACCAGGGGTACCTAAAAGAACTGCTCACCGATAAAGGGAGGGCCAACTTCGCCAGAGGATGCGATCCATCTCAAAGACCTCCAAAGCCACCATCGCCAACACGCACCATACAAATGATCATTAGCGGTGGCGACAACACGGTAATCAACCATGTGAAATTCACCACCACACATAAACTCAAACGGACGGTCGCCCACGAAAGATATGATGACCTCGAAGACAGTATCATCTCCGATAATTCAGATGCCGACGATTTGTCTTTCCCTCACTATGATGCTTTAGTTATAACTTTACGCATCGCTTATACAGATGTAAAAAGAATCATGGTAGATGACGGAAGCAGTGCGTGTATTGTTCACCCGCGAGTCCTCATGCAAATGAGGCTTGAGGATAAAATAATACCGCATTGCATAACACTAATGGGTTTTAACAATGCAGTAGAGCGGACATTCGGAGAAATAGTGCTGTCTGTCCTAGCAGGAGAAGTCACACTGGAAACAACATTCCATATCATGAACCAGGAAACAGCCTATAACGCCATCATAGGGCGACCATGGATACACGCCATGCGAGCCGTCCCCTCAAGCTTCTATCAAGTGATCAAAGTTCCTACCCCGTGGGGAATATTCAGCATCCGAGGCGAGCCACGTACCACCCAAGAATGCTATCGAATCGCCCAAGATTGCATGCACACCAAATAACTAAAAGGATCAAGTGCAGAGGTATAACAATCAGCCATGTCGGGAACTAGACCCGACCCACAAGCAGAGGCCATCAAAGACCCAGATATCGTAGAAGCCTACAAGGCAACTGTAGAGGATCTTGACCCCGTCCAATTAGATGACGCTGACAACACAAAAAAGGCTTACATAGGGCACAACCTCTCAGATCCAGGTAAGTATCGTGAATATTTAACTAACAACGCCGATTTATTTGCCTTCTCTCACTCAGATATGTCAGGAATCCCAAAGGACATCGCCACTCATAAACTGAATGTCGACCCACTCTATTCGCCGTTACGGCAAATGAGGAGAAAGTTCACTACTGCAATCATGAAGCAGTCAGTGAAGAGGTGGATAAATTACTCACTAACGGTTCCATCAGAGAATCAAAGTACCCCCAATGGGTCGCCAACGTGGTCATGGTCAAAAAGAAGAACGGGAAATGGCGAATGTGTGTGGACTTCACCGATTTAAACAAAGCAGGCCCAAAGGATTCCTTCCCGTTACCCCATATCGACCAACTGATCGATGCGACAGCGGGCATGAATTGTTGAGCTTCTTAGACGCCTACTCCGGTCACAATCAAATCCTAATGGCTGAAGAAGATCAAGAAAAGACGACTTTCATCACTCACCAAAGAACGTATTGCTATAAAGTGATGTCGTACGGACTCAAGAATGCAGCGGCCACGTAATAGAGGCTAGTCGCCAAGATGTTCAAAGAGTAGCTCGACAAGACCATGGAGGTCTATATCGATGACATGCTGGTAAAGTCGGCAAAGAAGGAGGATCACATTAGCCATCTGAAAGAAGCCTTCAAAATATTAAGGCAGTATGGGATGAAGTTAAATCCCGAGAAGTACGCCTTCGGTGTAGCCTCAGGAAAATTCCTCGGCTTCCTCGTATCACAAAGGGGAATCAAAGTCAACTTGAATCAAATCAAAGCCATCGATACAATACTAGAGGTACTGACCAGCAAAAAACAGGTACATAAGCTAACAGGGCGAATAGCCGTATTGTCGAGGTTCATTTCACGATCCTCGGACAGATGCCATAAATTCTTCAATGTGATGAGAAAAGACCACATGTTACAATGGAACGAGGAATGTGTCGACGCCCTGAGAAAGCTAAAAGCGTATCTGTCTTTGCCGCCACTACTCGTCAAAGCGGACCCGGGTGAGTGTCTGCTTGTGTATTTGGCAGTTTCTGAAGTCGCAATAAGTGCAATCTTACTCCACGAAAATAAAGGTTCGCAGTCTCCCATTTACTATATCAGCAATACTTTAATACATGCCGAGACAAGGTACCCTCACCTTGAAAAGCTAGCTCTGGTACTGGTCGTAGCTTCACGCAAGCTTAGACCATATTTTCAATGTCACCCCATAAAAGTAGTAACGACCTTCCCCCTGAGAGGTATCCTGCACAAACACGAACTATCAGGTAGACTTGCCAAATGGGCCATATAATTAAGCGAGCACGACATAACATACCAATCGCGAACTGCTATTAAGTCATAGGTGCTCGCCGACTTCGTCGCTGATTTCAGCGCGAAGATATTGCTCGAGGCAGAACAAGAAGCACTTCGAGCTCCCTCACGTAACGACCTTTGGGTCCTCTACACCGATGGAGCCTCGAATGCCTCGGGATCGGGACTGGGACTCGTCCTTGAGGTCCCTACGGGCGACATAATTCGCTAGTCCATACGATGCCCCGAGATGACTAACAACGAGGCCGAGTACGAGGTTGTGATTGCAGGTTTGAAGTTAGCCCTCAAATACGGCGCCCGACAACTCGTCCTCCACTGTGACTCTCAACTCGTTGTGAATCAAGTTATTGGGACTTTCCAAATCTAAGAGTAGAGACTACAAAGGTACCAGTCGGAAATCCACAAACTGCTGCCAGAGTTCGATGAATGCAGCCTCGACCAGATACCTAGGGCGTAGAATATTGAAGCAGATGGCCTCGCCAAATTAGCTGCGGCCACCAGTCATTCCGCAATAGACCACGTTGAGGTACATTCTATAAAACTAACTTGGGACTGGTGTAACCATTTTATAGCCTATTTACAGGATGGGTCGCTCACGCAAGACAAAAAAAAGCCAAAAAACTCCGGGTATAGGCATCCCGATACAGCCTAGTAAACCATGATCTCTACAAGAGAACGTTCGGCAGCCCCGTAGCCAAATGTATTGGACCACATCAAACAAGGTGAGTACTGGAAGAAGTACACGAAGGGCACTGCGATGCTCACACGGGAAATCGTGCCCTCGTTCGATGTCTCATTCACACTGGTTACTACTGGCCTACCATGAAAAAAGAAGTCGCGGACTATGTCCGAAGGTGCGACTCGTGTCAAAAGTATGCCCCTATGATACATCAGGCAGGAGAACTCCTCCATTCCGTTACTTCGCCATGGCCATTCATAAAATGGGGAATGGACATAGTCGGCCCCCTCCCAGCAGGGCGAGGTAAGGTACGCTTCCTTTTGGTTTAACTGACTACTTCTCTAAATGGGTGGAAGCAGGTGCATACACTCAGATACGTGAGCAGGAGGTCATCGCCTTTATATGGAAAAAATATTATATGCCATTTTGGCATCCCTAAGGAAATCAGCTGCGACAACGGACCTCAATTCATCGGAAAAAGAACAACTGAGTTCTTCGAAAAGTGGCACATCAAACGGATACTCTCCACGCCATATCACCCTGTCGCCAATGGCCAAGCCGAGTCCTCCAACAAAGTAATACTGAACATATTGAAAAAGAAGCTCGAAAAAGCTAAAGGGCTATGGCCTGAACTACTACCCGAAGTATTATGGGCATACCGCACCATGCCAAAATCCAGCATGGGAGAAACGCCATACTCACTAGTCTACGGGAGCGACGCAGTTATACCCGTCGAGGTCGGGGAGCCCAGCTTGAGATACTCCAATGAGAACGGAGCAGATAACAACGAAAGTAGGCTACAAAATTTGGATGAAATTGAAGAACGAAGAGACATGACCCACCTAAGAATGGTAGCCAGAAGCAGCAAGTAGAAAGATACTACAACAAGAGAGCCAAGGTGCGATCACTCAAAGTGGGCGACTACGTCCTCAAGGCCAAAACACAGGCATCGAAGGATCCAAATGAAGGAAAGTTAGGAACAAACTGGGACGGACCGTATAAAATTGTAGCAGCAGCAAACAAAGGAGCTTTCCAACTAGAAACAATGGAGGTAAAACTGCTCCAAAACAACTGGAACATCGCCCACTTCAAGTATTTCCACTTCTAAAAGGTGTCACTCAAGTCGTACTCTTTTTCTCTCACCCGGGTTTTGTCCCAATCGGGTTTTTCCGGGGAGGTTTTTAACAAGGAGGCATGAGAGATGCCTTACGGTTTGACACGCCGTTCATTACCTCCACTCGTCGATATGATCTCTGGATCGAAGTAATGAAGGGACTACATATAGATAATCTAATCTCCATTGTATGAACGGTATCTAATCTCCATTGTATGAACAGAATCTAATCTCCATTGTATGAACGAAACATAATCTCCATTGTATGAACGGAATCTGATCTCCATTGTAGGCACGGAATTCAATCTCCATAACATGTGCAGAACTAGATCTCCACTAATCGACAAATGATGTCTTCCTACGGGAACACGGTCAAATCTCCAAACATGAGCTCGGCCTCGTTCGAACTACGACGGGATACTACTTCGACGACAGTTCGAAGCAACATCCCAATGGCCAAGGCCATCAACAAAACATGAGTTCGACCTCATTCGAACTACGACGGGATACTACTTCAACGACAGTTCGAAGCAACATCCCAATGCCCAAGGCCATCGACAAAACACGAGTTTGACCTCGTTCGAACTACGATGGGATACTACTTCGACGACAGTTAGAAGAAATATCCCAATGGACAAGGCCATCGACAAAACATGAGTTCGACCTCGTTCGAACTATGACGGGATACTACTTCGATGACAGTTCGAAGCAACATCGCAATGGCCAAGGCCATCGACAAAACATGAGTTTGACCTCGTTTGAACTACGACGGAATACTACTTCGATGACAGTTCGAAGCAACATTCCAATGGCCAAGGCCATCGACAAAACATGAGTTCGACCTCGTTCAAACTACGATGGGATACTACTTCGACGACAGTTCTAACAACATCCCAATGGCCAAGGCCAACGACAAAACATGCGTTCGACCTTATTTGAACTACGATGGGATACTACTTCGGCGACAATTCGAAGCAACATCCCAATGGCCAAAGCCATCGACAAAACATGAGTTTGACCTCGTTCGAACTACGACGGGATACTACTTCGACGACAGTTCGAAACAACATCGCAATGGCCAAGGCCATCGATAAAACACGAGTTTGACCTCATTCGAACTACGACGAGATACTATTTCGACGACAGTTCGAAGCAACATCCCAATGGCTAAGGCCATCGACAAAACACGAGTTCGACCTCATTCAAACTACGACGGGATACTACTTCGACGAAAGTTCGAAGAAACATCCCAATGGACAAGGCCATCGACAAAACATGAGTTCGACCTCGTTCGAACTACGAGGAGATACTACTTCGACGACAATTCGAAGCAACATCCCAATGGCCAAGGCCATCGACAAAACATGAGTTCGACCTCATTCGAACTACGATGGGATACTACTTCGACGAAAGTTCGAAGCAACATCCTAATGGCCAAGGCAATCGACAAAACACGAGTTCGACCTCGTTCGAACTACGACAGTATACTACTTTGATGACAGTTCGAAGTATCCCAATGGTCAAGGCCATCGACGAAAATATCGGTTTAACCTCGGTCGAACCACGACGGGATTCCACTTCGACGACAGTCGAAGCAACATCCCAATAGCCAAGGGCATCAACATCATATGCAATAAACAAAGGAAAAAATGACAAACAAATAAACCGACGAAAGTAAAGTTTACATTACAGCAAAATATC